AAGCATCTCTTTACAAATATTAGTCCCATTTTAAGCAGCCAGCTATTTTTTTTTCCAAATCCAATTCAACTCATTTCTAATCCCTATAATCTAAATAATAACTGATTTTTTTTTCATTCAAGAGTCACACATTTTGTCTCTAGTTCATATTGAGACCAAGGTCCTACACAGGTAAATTTCTAACTGGGAGTGAATGGCCTTCTCGTATGTCTATTGGGTATATGACATGTTTGTTGAATGAGTCCTCCTTTTATGTGGTATTTCTATGCATTTACTTTTTTGGTCATTTGCTGTATTTTGTAAAATTTCTTATTTGTGGGGATGGGTTTTTAATCACCTCATTAGGGGCTGTCTTTTATTTCTTTGTTGGTTAGAGAAACACATTTTAAGAAAGTGGCTGTCACCAAATGTGAAAAGATGATTTATTTCTGAATCACTGCAAAAGATCCTTTGGGATTTACTGTTAATCCCAACAAGATTAATGGAATCAGAAGCAACATGCTAGTCACCATGGTTACTCTGCAAATGGCAATTAATGCAGACCTTACCAGTACCAGATCAGTTATTTAAAAATCTGTTATTATTTAGCTAAAACAAAAACAAAACAAATCTCCCCATCTCTATATTTATATATTCTCTCTCTTTCTTTCTCTCTCTCTCTCTCTCTCTCTACACACACACACACACACACACACACACACACACACACGGCTTTTGTTGTTTTTTGTTTTATATTATGAAGCAGAGAGAGGAAAAACAATTCATATTTTACATATAAATGACTGAACTCTGCACAGAGTAATGTGTTTGGAGAGCTGTCAACAAACAAACCAAATTCCTACACTATCTCTATTCTTTCACTCCTCTTCCGGGTATATGAATAATTTCCTATGAGTTCACCCTGTTCTCATAGAGAATGGACTCTTGCTAGTCACAGTGTTCTGAAAAACAGTACACAAAATGTATCTCAGTGACCAAAAAAAAAAAGCAATTGTCTCCTAGGGTCTGATTTGGGCTGTATGTGGGAAAAATGCAGCATCAGAGGGAACAGACTCTCGACTCGCTAGTCTTCACCCCATGCAGCCTGGAGAGATCTTAACAGCAGCCCTGTGAACTCTGGAAGCTCAAATTTCTCCAAGGCATCCACTTCCCTTGGTCTTTTCAACCTCCAGGAGCCTCAGCTTTTTAGCATCTCAGCAGACTTCAAATTTGTAAAGAAATTTCCCAACCTGCTACTACTTATCACATAGGATTGGCCCTTCTGTTATGTTTTCACTAANCCCCATACCTTCTTCTGGCAGCCCTCTCCCTGTGTCTGCCTCCCTGCCCCTGATGCTTTCCTCTTGGCATCTACACCTTGGCTCATCATGTCTTCATCCTGCTATTGTTGTCTCAGTATTTCTGCTTCCTTGTGTGTATCTCTAGTCTCCGCACTTAACTGAAAGCAACTTGAGCCCAGGGATAGTGGATCACATGTTTTTGTACATCCTGTGATGTTTGACACAGTGCAGGGTGCATAACAGGTGCTCAGTAAAAAGGCCTTCATAAATCAACGATTCCCTCCTTTGCATGACAACTTTCCCCTACATACTCCAGCATTTTTCTCTTTAGATACAATGTTTTGTGTTTGAAGTGGCTTTGCCATTTCTAAAGCTCTCTCATATCTATCTCTTATCTCAGTTCATCTTATCTATAAAGCTTGGTAAAGTAGGCATGGGTTATGATACTCATTCTTGAGATTTGAGGAGATTAATTCTCAAAGAGGTTTGTAACAGTAACAGGGCTTGTATGTGCTGTCCTGAGAACAAGCATCTATAATGTGACCTATTCTGTGCCATTACCCTTCTCCAATGGAAACATGAGAACAACAATCGCACAATATAATAGAGTACTGATTCAATGCACATTCTATATGGTGGGGAAAAAAATCAAGGCATATCATGTTTCTCATGGAATAGGAATTCAAATACCTTGTACTAGATCAAAATTCTGGCTGTCTATTTTGCTTCTGTAATTGTGTTTGGATTCTAACAATGCCACAGAAAGTAGGAAGAAGCCCACTTACTGCTTATGGAAGATGTGTTGGTTTCCATTGTAAGGTTGACAGTCTTTTCACTAAGCCCATCCTAGCAATTAGCTGGGTGCCTGTACAATGTTTATTTGTACAATGTACAAATAATTACAAAGCACTCTTTTTCATTGATTTGTTTCTTACCAAGCTGTTCTCCTAAATGTTGGCCTCTGTCCGTTGAGATGACCCGCTCGTCTTCCATGTCACATTTGTTCCCAACCAGGATAACTTGGGCATTATCCCAAGAGTATGTTTTGATCTGAGTTGACCTAAAAGAAAA